AGCGTGTATGTATATATACACATACGAATACTCTTTCTTGGGTCCTGTCCACCGCGACGATTGACTTTCCGCGGCATTCTCGTCTTTCTCTTGTATAAATTAGTCCCAACCGCCACATAATGGCGTGTCGATGCGCTACTGTCCCTGGATAGCCTTTGCCTTTCTAATTCCTTTTTTCTCTTTTATTTTATCTCTCATACAAAATCTTTCTTTCTCTCTCTCTCTCTCATTCTCTTTATATATATATATATATGTGTGTGTGCGTGTGTATCTTTCTTCTCATTCTGTCTTCTAGCTCTTACTCGTTTACCATATCTGTCTCTTTCTCGCTTAAGCGATGTTTATATCCACGTCCTTCTCGCACCTCTTCTTTCTTACTTTCTCTCTCTCTCTCTCTCTCTCTCTCTCTCTTTCTCTCCATCTCTTCCTCATTCTCCTCTTCTTTTCGTTCGCACACTCGTCAGACCGGCTGCTTAATTTACGACCAATTAATTTGGATAAACTGAATGAGGGGAGGCCTGCTTTTGATGCACGCGTTAACCTAGCATCTTTTTCCATCGCTCTCTCTCTCTCTCTCTCTCTCTCTCTCTCTCTCTGTCTTTCTTTCTTTCTCTCTCTTTCTCTCTTTACCTTTCTGTCCTCTTAAACAGGAGCTTCCCTTCAAGTTAAATTCGTTTCTACTTACTCGTTCTGATAAAACTCCTTTGGACATGGGTGGTGATGTTAAGGAAAAAAAAAGAAATAATAAAGGCAAATAATAAGAAAATAAAAAAGAACAATTGGACTAATTAATTTAAATTAATAATAATAGATATATTCTTTTATTCTTTTTTTCTTCTTTTTTTTTGATTGATCAATCAATCTATAATATAACAAATGTATTTTTCATTTGTGGATGTATTTTTTTATATAAAAAAAATTCGTATAAAAAAAGAAAACTTTTTCGAAAGAACAATCACTGATTAATTTTGAGGAATTTCTTTAAACATGGATGATGAGTGTTAAGAAAAAAAAAAAAATAAAGCGAGAAAAAGAAGAAATAAAACGAACAAAAAATAATAGAAAAAAAAGGAAAATTGAAATTGAATAAAATAAAATAAAACAATCGTATATATATATATATATATATATATATATTTTATCTTGCTTTTTTTCTTTTTTTTTTAAATATTTATCAATCGATAAAAAAATTCATATAAAAGAGAAGAAATCTTTCGATGGTCTCGATCGGATTTCTCCTCGGTCACTCGATCGATTCTTGGCGAGTTTCCGATCGAGGTCTTCGAAGGGATAGAAATCACGATGGAAGGATGGTGAGGTGAGGCAGAGAGGTAGAGTGAGAGAGAGAAAGAGAGAGAAGAGAAGAGAAAGGAATAGAAGAAGAAGAAGGAGGAGGAGGAGGAGGAAGAGGAGGAGAAAGAAGAAGACGAGAAGTCACGGCGATGGCGAAGAAGAGGCGGACTATCGCGAAAGCGGACGACGGCGTTCGATGTCGTCGTGAAGGGGCTGTTTGGTATTCCGTTCGCGTCCGAGGGCATAATTGGCCGCCAACTGGCGACGACGACGACGCTCCTCCGGGTATCGCCAAGACAAGAAATTATTCTTTAATTAATTGTCAGCGCTCTCAATGTGACCACATGCGTAGGATCGGTCGGGCTCCCTACATACATACATACATACATACATAGATACCTACATACATAGATGCATGCATGCATGCATACATAAATTTTGATCAATATGGAATGATAGGATAGTTTCTACGTGACTCTCTATAAGCGAGAAGAATAACTCGTTATTGTTGTATACCTTCTTCAGTATGGAAGGAGAGAAAGAAAGAGAGAGAGAGAGAGAGAGGGAGAGAGAGAGAGAGAAAAGAGAAGAGAAGATATGGAGGGTTCTGTGTGTATGTACGTGTCTAAAAGTTTAGTACAACAAAGTGATCGTGGTGTGAGTTACCTTTATGTTATATCAAGGATAAATACCAGTACTTATAACTATAACTATCGCGCTCAGTCCCTTTGTAAATCCTTTAACGGTTAATACCTCTTGTCATGTGGCAAGAAAATGTTACTGAGTATACCTAAGAAATATGTTCATTTCTTTTTAATATGATATATGTATGTATCCCTTTCTCTCTCTCTTTATATATATATATATATATATATATATATATATATATATATATATATCTACTTCTATCTCTCTTTCTCTCTTTCTATCAAAATGATATACACTCACTCGGGTAATTATTACTTAACTAATATCTTTACATCTTACGTCTTACGCCTTATATCCTACCTTCTTGTTATTATCCTTATACACATTAGCGGAGAAGAACAATTAGGCTACCGGTCTTCAACGAGTGAGGACAGTTACGAGCGCGGATGAAAGATTCAAAGAGACCGGCGAGTTTCTTTGATCGACTTCAGACTGCGAAACAACGGATATCTTTCTCTTTCTCTCTCTCTCTCTCTCTCTCTCTCTCTCTCTCTCTCTCTCTTTGTATCACTCTCTTTGTATCTCTCTGTCTCTGTCGGTTTTAAACTCCGCAATCTCTCTCTCTCTCTCTCTCCCTTTTCATTCTTTCGCAGATAGGAAAGACCAGGTTTCCTGCGTGAACACGCGCTGGGACTTACATTGGCGTCGTTTTTCGACAAATTTTTCGAATCTTTTCTTACCTTCGAATGTCTATCACTTTCGATGATTATCATCATCGATCATCTTATCGGTAGATGTGTACTCACACATACACACGCGCGCGCCTGCACACATATTGTAATAATATAAATAAATGTCAAAAGAAAGTAATATCATCGTACGTGTCGATATTGTTTTTCGTTTGGGAAATATAATTAAAAGAAAGGAAAAGGAAAGAAAAAAATAAATAAAATGAAAAAAAAAAAAATTATTATTGATATAATCAATGTAGAGGAAAAAATATTTTCTCGTATGAATTCTCGAAATATAACCGCGTATCTACGTATGTACGTAGACATTTTTTTACAAGCTCGTTCTATAATTCGATTCGACTATAGAGAAAATGAAGAAGAAAAAAGAATATTAAAAAAAATAAAAGAAAATTGATTTTCGTAAAGCTCCTAGGCTCACGTAAACGATCGTATTTTACGCCAATGAGAACACTCACGATTCTCACCGAAGAAGACAGGTGCGCGCGACGAGCGCACACGAACGTACAACGATGATAACGACGATGAAACGAAGGAACGCGTTGGCGAAATTGTATAGGTATGTGTATGTGCGTGCGTGCGTATTTGTGCGTGTGCGCGTGTATGTGTGTGTGTGTGTGTGTGTTTGCAAGCGTCCCTGTATGTGTTTTCCTTCCCTATATATAAACACACATGCACATGCGCACACGCACACGCACGGATATATATCCCTTGTATATATATTTTATAATTAGCCGACGGTCGCCGTCGATAAATCAGCGCGCCGCCCGGCTTTAGGACTTAATTAAAAAAATTTAGTCAAAAACCAATTAGCGGCCACGGCGAATTAACATATTTCTAATTATCTACCGGACACTTTCGGCTGCCTTATAGCAGCGGCAAACGTCTCTCTCTCTCTTTCTCTCTCTCTTTCTATCTCTATCTCTCTTTTTCTTTCTCATTGAGAAAACCGTAATATAAGTCCAGTGAATTTCTCTCTCTCTCTCTCTCTCTCTCTCTCTCTCTCTATATACCAATCTTCCACACCATCCCTCGATGACGTTGCGATACGGTCATTGTTAACGCGTTTCTTAAGGCGTCATCAACGCTCTCGTCGTTTGCCAACAATCAATTCTCTCTTTACTCTCTTTTTTCTAAATAGGAGGACATGTTAATTACAAAGGTTGCAACTTTCAAGGATCATCAAAAAGATTTTTAACCAAGATAAACAGAAAACAAAATTAAGATCAATATATATATATATATTGGTTTCTGAAATATCGAAAAGGGGACAATTAATAGGTGTGTAATGATATCTAAGTATATATCTATGTATGTATGTATATGGGTAGTATCTATCTACATATATTTATCAAGATAAACGTAAGTACTTACTTACTTGCTTTGTTTACGTACGATTCTAAGGAATTAATAACTCGATTGTTAGTCGAGATAAAACGTCGAGATTAATTATTGAAATCGGATTTTTATTTCGCTATTATATGTGTATTTCTTGTGGATAAATTACCATGTTATTACATTTATACAGAGCGGCCATAGGTTACGATTCGTGAACCATTTCGCGCTTATTTAATATCTTTAAATCAATTTTTATTTTTCTTTTTTTTTTCTTTTCCTTTTTCTTTTCTTTTTTTACCGACGGCGGATCTCCGTGATCGTACACGTAGATACATACATAATTTACACATTTTATCTGCATATTCGTTCTTCCGTTCTCTCTCTCTCTCTCTCTCTCTCTCTTTCTATCTCTATCTATATCTCTTTCTCTCTCTCTCTCTCTTTCTCTTTCTCTCTCTCTCTCTCTCCCTCTCTCTCTCTCTCTCAGACGCACGCATACACATTGCACACATCTCAATTAGATTATATACAAACGTATTATCATCCTTCATCGTTTCTTTTTCGTTGCCCACCCAATTATAAAGTCTCCGTGGTGTCTCCTCGCAATAAATGAAGAAATTCGTTTCTTTCATACTATATACACCATTGCGAGAGATGCATAAACAATAAAAACGACCGTTCAAATCTATTTATTCGAGAAACTACAAACGTGTTTTTCGCGGTTTCGATATTCTCTGTCTCGCGTCTTTTAAAGTGATGGATGAGACATTCGATTCCTATCATTGGAATCGTAAAAATCGGCATCAATCTACGTAAGTACTTTTACTTACATAAGTAAATATGTGGTACATACGAATGACGATAGGTGGAAATATACGAATTACGAATGAGAACGAATTTATCGTTTTCTTTTCCCATTAGCCTCACAGCCCTTCTCCCCCCCCCCCCAGTCCCATATTCCCCTCTCTTTTCAAAATTCTTTTTTCTTTCTTTTCCTTCTACTTCTTTGTCTCCTTTCTTTTTTTCTTTTTCGTCTTCCTCGCTTACGTTATTCGTCTTTTTGTTTTCTCCATTACGGTTTTAGATTATCGTCGGACGATCTATTTATCCATTTGTTAATTGCATCGAAATCGAATCGTTTTATATACATGCACACACACGTGCGCGCACACACACAAACACACGTCCACAGAGGAGACACTCCTATATATACATAAGTACACTCACGTAAGTACATACGTATTATACATATTACCATACCTATCGATTATCGAGCGAACGGAGAGATATTTTTATTTACATTTATGTGCATTATGGTTTTTTCCTCGTACAGATGTTATTTGTTTGTTTTTTTTCTTTCCTTTCCTCCTTCTGTTCACAAGAAAGTCTGGCCTCTCCTGATTTCTGGACTCTCGTTACAACTTTCTTCCTTTTCCCTTTTTGCCGTTTGTTTTTCCCTTTTTCTTTCTTTTTCTTTCATTCTTTCTTATCCTTCTTTCTCCCATCGTCCCTTCTTCCAGTTCACTAATTTTTCATTCTTGAGATTACGAGATCGAAAAATGCCACGAATAAATGCTAAACACGAGTAAAAGGATGTTAAGTTTCTCAATCAAACATGTGTATGTATATGTATATATGAATATAAAAAAAGAGAACCTGAGAAAAATATAAAAAAAAAAAAAAAATAAAAAAGAAATAGATCGATATTATCCTTAAGATTAATTGGCTGATCATTTGATTAAACTTGGCAAGTAGTGTTCTTTCTTCAATCTTCGAGACATCGAATTAAATCTTCCTTTTTATATTTAATCAACTTTACACACGTTGCTCTTCTATTTTCGATTATTCCATAGGAACACTCGGTTGTTCACCACCAGGAGGATAAAGAGAAGAAGGAGGAGGAGTCCTAGACCAGGTTATTTTGTACGTTTGAAAAAAAAGAAATAAAAATAAATAAAAAAAAATAAAAATTTGCTTCTTCGCGACA